CTGGTACATTTTACTAAACACTTGCTACAATTTGTGTAGATAAACAACCGTCTGGTACATTTTACTAAACACTTGCTACAATTTGTGTAGATAAACAACCGTCTGGTACATTTTACTAAACACTTGCTACAACTTGTGTAGATAAACAACCGTCTGGTACATTTTACTAAACACTTGCTACAATTTGTGTAGATAAACATAGTAAATTTGGATTTATACTCAATATTCCTTCTCCAGTATGGGTTCAGTCCAAATTTTAAGCCTACTGGTTCACCAACTTTCAGCATTTAAATCATGTAGTTTTCTTTTACTTCAGTTGGTTAACCAGTTTTCCCACAATCTTACTTAGGTGATGCATCAAGATAAATTTGTTAATTGTCATTTGCAATTCAACATAATTAAACACACTTACGTCAACATTTATGGCTATTACCTGAAAACAATAACTTGGAAGTAATTATAAGTTAATATTAACTTCTGATCAGAGCAAGTTATTTCCTTAAATCAAAACTACAAATCAACCCAGTAATGAATATAGCTTATAAGGTTTACTTTTCTTACTAATAATGATTAGAATGCATTATTTCCTCACTTGGCTAATCTCGTCATTTACGATACTTTAGGCTATAAGTCCAAGAGTATCTCACTAGATTCAGTCAGCTTTGGAGAGTTAGGTTAGTCCTAAATCCACACACTGAAATAATAATACACAATAATCTCTATCATAAAAGTTTAATAATAAAAAATGATGAAACTAGATATGGTAGACAACCTAATCAATACTGTTAATGAAAATAAAGAATAAGTAAACACATATTGTTTGTTCTCAATGTAATTGTATTTTGGCATCAGTTGTTTTTAGTGATACAAGGTCTCTAGTTTGATACCACATAATAAACTTAAAGCTACCATCAGAAAGTCTCACAAAGAATTGTCACTTACACAAAAACAAATGTTACTGTTTTGTTGTTGTGCTTAGAGAGACTAAGATAGTACATTGGGGTGTTATTTCTAGCACTCTTGTATAACAAATTTTTGATGTTAAACAGCCATCCTGTTACTGTTAGAATGTTAAGTGATTTGTAATATCTAGTTTCAAATAACCATAATATCGTGAATGGCAACCAAGAACAACTCTGTACAACCATAGCCAAAATAAAATAAAAAAAATAAATCAATTCAATTGGCAATATTCTTGTATTTCAGATCATGAATATACACTATCGGGCAGTATACACAGTAACATGTCTCAGAAATATACTTTATGTGGAATTGTTCCCACTTGAAAAACATCAAAATAAAATCAATTAATTGTCCACTTCATTATTAAAGCATATCCATTACAATTCTTGGTTTTAAGCACTTTTCAAGGTCTTTAAAATCAAATTCTAAACCTTCCAAACCTTGATGTATACATATGTATCAACCATTATGCTGACTCTATTATTTAAAATATTTCCCAATAATAAAACTTTCTTCTTTATACTGAAGAATTTATAAAACAATATTCATGACTTACTCAATACTTTAGTTTCTAAACAGGAATATCAAACATGGTTATTTCAATGACTTCCTAGGAACACCTGAAAAACCTACACATTCTATGGAGATTAACAAGTGAGATGTGTAGGCAGGTAACGTATTTCACACCATCTTCTATTGATATAGAAAATCTAGTTACTTTTCACACTCGGATATTACTGCAACTTTACACATTTCAATGACAGTAATGTCCTTCAGTGACAAAGTAGGAGATATTACAGACCTTCACTATATTATAAAAGAGTGACATACATACATTTTCTGATGTAATCCAACATTTTATGTACAAAGCAATGGCTTTACACCAGGTCTACAAGTTTATCAACAGTTGACAAGAAACGAAAGCTACCAATTTATTGACTGACCCTGTAAAAAGCAATTGTACAGTACCTATGCAAGTACACACACGTACACGTACCGTGTTTTCGAGTCATACAATATACTTTATATCACATGTCCAGTTTATTTATCTTATTAACTCAAACATATTTGTTTAGTTAATCTCAGATCTAATTAGCAAATATACCGATTGATCCTTCTATTATAAAGTGGATCTATCTAATACTCATGGAGAAATCAGGTTCACCTTAGAAAACTACAACAGATCACTAAAATTCAATAATCACGTAAAACACATTCTTCAAGAAATAAGAGGAGCATGCGTAAAGGAAGAACAGTATTGTTAGTATAGTGCCACAATTTAAATGCTTGCTTACTCCTTAAGTAACTCGGAATAAATGTACAGAAATTCCATACGATTAATATACTGGAAACACTCAACCTATAACAATCTATTGCAACAAAAGGAGTATTAGTACCATTAAGTGGTGTTATGAATGTCACAAAGACAATGGACAAAAGAACAATTTGGTGCAAAAAAGAGTTTACTGAAAACATGTACAGCAAGGTGTCATTCAGAGGCAGGATTTACTGCATTCAACATAAAAATACAACATACATTTTCCAACTTTAGCTTAGCAATGTATACGAATTGCTGAAATGTTCATTTTAAAAAGTTACAATATAATTTTAATAACAAGGAGACATTTTACTTACTTTGATTTCTTGCCTGCCATTACCTGACCGTTTTGATCGTTCAAAGCCTTACACTGTTCAGTGGTGGAGTTTGACTCACTGATGTTAAAAGTAGTGTTGAGAAAGACATCTCTTTCTTTCTGAAAAATTAAATAGTTATGCCTTTTTTTTTAAACAACTAACAGGTGATTGCAAACAATTCAGCATATACATCCAAGCACTTCATTAAGTACACCAGAAGAAGAAGAAAATACTTAATGTGTACAGAAACCGAGAGCTCCTTGTAAAGGGATATTAATATAAACTTATAAACAAAACTAGCTGTATATATGTAAGAAACTTCAAACTCAGTATGTTTGAAAACTCACAAGTGTTTTCTACAGTAAATCCATATAATATTTAAATAACTTTCCTTAGAAGATATCTATGCAAGCCTCAAGAAACAAACAAACAAACAACAGAGCAAAACTTACAGAGTAAGGTATGCAAAATTCAGACTATTATTTCAGCAATATTCACACTCCATGTTGGGACACCTTTTGATAATGTTCAGTTTTTTTCTCTTTGTTGTTCTTATTATTTTATATTATGGGTATATTGTAGCTATTAAATATACCTGACATCTGTGGTATTAGCATTGTATCTCAATATGCTCAAGATCCATACCAGGACACAATTTCTTTTTGTATTGTAGGTTTGTGGTTAATTTTTCACCTTTACTTTATGGGCATTGTTTAAATACTGAACTTATCAATGATTCATTTTGTGTTGTCTGTTTATTTTAAATATTTGTTGTGAGGATGGCAACCTGAAAAAGCACTGTTTTTTTTTTCCTGTGCCTTTTTTGATATGTATTTTTAGTTACATAGCTTTTGTTTTGCCACCCTTCTGATACAAATAATACTGATTTACCGACTTCTGAATAGACTAATTATCACTATGATTTCTGATTAGATAATATGCTTTATTCAGTGTTATACAAGCTGCAAAAAACACATGATCTACAAGGTGTTAATGTTTATTTTCACCCCCATAAAATGTCAAAACAAACTGAATTTAAAGGGTGTAAACATAATAAAATAATCAGGGTTTAAAAATCAGAATGATTCTAGCAAAATAGGAATGGCTGGAATTTCTGTATGGTATTTAGACATATCATACATATTTTCAGTATAAAGGCCTACAGATGTTATTTCTTTAAAAATACTTTCTGATTTAGCTTAACACTTTTTAAACTAAAGTATTGGATGTTTACTCAAATTTATTACTGTCATCGAATGAATAATTATTTACCATATTATTTAAAATACCTTTTCTTTGTCCTCAATCTGGCCTGGTTTTGTTATAACCAAATCTTTACTGTCATTGAGATCAACAAGGACTTTACCTCAATCTGGCCTGGTTTTGTTATAACCAAATCTTTACTGTCATTGAGATCAACAAGGACTTTACCTCAATCTGGCCTGGTTTTGTTATAACCAAATCTTTACTTTCACTGAGATCAACAAGGACTTTATGTTCTTTTCAAGATAATATAAATTATTTTTCAAACTCATTATCCACTTGAAAGGATGATGAAAAGACACTTTACGATAAAAGTTAAAAAGAAACATGCTTTCAAATATTCTTGTGTGTAAATACAATTTTCCTGGACATTAGCAGGTTGGCCTGCATTAATTCAAGTTCAAACAAAGTCTAGGGCCAATCTCTGAATATTTTTAAAGAAACAAGATTAATTTTTATTTCTAATTTATAAAAGGTAATAATATCAATTAAATTAATGTAAATTTTATGAAAAACTTTTAATTTTACACAATTACTAGTTGTATATGTAAAAACAATACTAGAGAGCAGACCAATACCAAGGTTTAACAATTCATTAATCATTGCTTGTCCATCTTATACTTGTGTGTATAAAATAATTCTAAATGAATACTGCCTACAAAGAATTCTTATCCAATAACTTTTATTGATAGAACATGATGATTTAATTTTTTTAGCTAATTAACCACTAAGGAGACATATTCTTGAAAGCTTTCAAATTACTTGCTGCATAAGGATCATTTTAAATATTAATTTCTATAAAAATAATTTATTTTGTTCAAGTTAGACAAGAAAAACTGGACCTAGAAATTATTTTTCTCAATTTTCACCTCTTCGTAAAAATAAAACTTTCTTTATGTTCACAGGCCTTTAATTTTTACTCGTATATTATTCTAGCAATACAAGTGGCTTTACAGTCACCAAAAGTGTATTTTTCTCAGTATTGTGAAAGTGGAAGGTTAATTTAAAAACAACATTCACAAATAAACTTCTAGATGACAGTCAAGATTATGTCTGAATTTGATTTATGACGAAATTTTTCTGTTTTACAAAAAAAATATGACATGCATTAATAGAAATAGTGGAAAATTAGTTTTATTTGTTATATGACATATCATTAACTTGAATCCCTGTAACCATACAGTATTAAGCTGCATATTATGTTAAAAGTAAAAAACTTGTCACTAAAAATTAAACAAAATATAAAATGAATCAAGTTATTTTAAACCTTTATTGTCATTGTTCGTTTAATAACCCTTGTTGAATTAACTATACTTCAGAAATTCTGTTACAATTACAACCTTGTTTGTTATTTCTTAATTTCACATTCAGCTATGGTACGTAATATTCCTACGTTAAAAGTATTACAGATTAGTTACAATTCTGGAACTGAAGAGCAATCATTGCATCTTACACCTAATTTGACGTATCAATTAAGTCACGAAATTAGTTATCACTCCTTACCTCGTTATCCCGATTCAAACATTTTTCTGAGGTGCACTTGCACTGCTCAGTACAGTGCCGTTCACCCCTGCAACATCCACAACGAGCCGTAGCACAATTGCCTTGACACTTACAGGCTGCACCAGAGACTGAACGCTGAAAAATATGTTAAAATTAAACCTTCCTTTTTATTACATTTAAATATGATATATTATTTGGTATAAGGAATTTGTAAGTATTTCATGTTTCAAATAAATTAGTAGACTTACAGCAAACAACTGTATACTTAGCCTACAGAACACTTCAACAGTTTTCTAACTTACTGTGCCACATAATTTAACATATCTTAGAACATATAATCATGATATGTTTATTAACTTCATCTTGCCAATTACATTTGCAGCAAAACACCATTTACTTTTACCTAACGTTAAAAAAGTTTAAATGCATTTTCATATTGTGAATATTCAAAAAATTGGACTCTCTCTATTTAAAAACATAAGACAGAATACCTTTCAACAGGTTCACATCATGAGAGATGCAGTGGACACAGCATATGAAATAATAAAAGCTTGCAAGATACAACCCGAAAGAGAGAAACTGGACCTAAAGCAAAGCAATAATAAATGAAAACTGTGAAATGGAAGGTTGGGAAGTTGTATGGAACTGAACTTATCAGCATGATCAGCCAGGAAAGAGACAAATATTGTCCCCTAAGCAGCAGTAAAGATTAACACACCACAAATTTGCCAGCACTACTTTCTCAGTTAAAGCATGCAGAGAAAAGACTCTGCCAATAACAATATCACATGTAACTTGATATATCTCAACATTTACAGAAATCTTCAGTTTCCCTACCAATAGCACACCTACCACCACAGATTTATATCAACAGATCTACCCACAGCACAAAAGATAGCTTGTTTGGTTACTCCCAACTCCAAAAGCCACTAGTGATAGAGAATTTTCTGGGTTGAGGAGAACAAAGACATAATTAAAAACAACTATGGTTCAGGAAAAACAAAATCATTTGATGCTTTTTAGCATTTACAGGGAAAGACTCAACAAACTTAATTTTAAAAATATAATTTCACAATTTGTTGAATGAAATGTAGAACATAAAAGTTCTTCAAACATTAACTAATATAAACCTACGACTCCACAGTAACAAAATATGCCTACTGCTGATATTCAAACGTTAACTAATACAAACCTACGACTCCACAGTAACAAAATATGCCTACTGCTGATATTCAAACATTAACTAATACAAACCTACGACTCCACAGTAACAAAATATGCCTACTGCTGATATTCAAACATTAACTAATACA